TAAAATTATCTTTTGACCTACAGATGTATTTTTAGGAGAGAAAAATCAGGGCTGGGGATGTGGCTCAAGTGGTAGTGTGCTCGCCTGGCATGCGTGCGCCCCGGTTAGATCCTCAGCACCACATACAAACAAAGATGTTGTGTCTGCCGAAAACTAAAAAATAAATATTAAAATCCTCTCTCTCTCTCTAAAAAAAAAAAAAAATCAAACTGAAGAATAATTATCGCACAGAGAATGATCCTATTTTTATAAACAAAAAAAAAATCACATCGGTTATGGTTTAGGTGTCCCCCAGAAGCTCATGTGTGAGACAATGCAAGAACATTTAGAGGTGAAAAGATTGGGTAATGATTGCCTTAACATAATCAATGCATTAATCCTCTGAGAGCAATCAATTGGGTAGGAACTGTAGACACTGTGGCCGGAGGAGGTGGGTCGCCCAGGGCATGCCTTTGGTTTTATATTTTGTCAGTGGTGAGGGAAGCCTGCTTTCTTTGCTTTCTGGTGGCCACATCCTGAACTGCTTTCTTCCTCACCACACTCTTTCACACCATGATTTACTTCTGCCTCACCTCAGGCCCAGGGCAATGGAGCTGGTCATAAATGGACTGAGACTTCTGAAACCAAGAGCTCCAAATAAACTTTTCCTTCTCTCAAACTGTTCTTGACAGGTCTTTTGTTCACAGCAGTGAAAAAGCTCACTAAAACACCGTCTAAGTGTATAAATATTAGTACGAATTTGTATAGGTATGGAGGTTTGGAAGGATACGTACCTATGAGACTGGACAAGGTAGGAGAGATTGTTAGCTTTTCCTTTGTGTTTATTTTATTTTTTAATATATGGAAATAATCGCAGCCAGAAGTCTGTAATCCAGTGGCTCAGGAGGCTGAGGCAGGAAGATCAGGAGTTCAAAGGCAGCCTCAGCAATTAAGTGAGACCCTAAGCAACTTAATGAGACCCTGACTCTAAATAAAATATAATAAAAGGCTGGGGATGCGGCTTGATGGTTAAGTGCACTGAGTTTAATCCCCATACAAAGAAAAAAGCAAACAGACAGAAAGTTGCAAGAATAAAAGTACAAATAACAAATAATACCTGTATACCCTCCACTCAGATTTACTTGCTGTTAAGATTTTACCTCTCTTCCTCTTTCCCTCTCCTTTTTTCTTTCTTCTATTACTATATACACACCACACACACACACACACACAGACTTTTTTTCTGACCCAAGTGAGAGTAGGTCAGATATACTATGACAATTTACCCCTAAACGCTTCAGAGTGTTTCCTTGAAGCACAGAGACATTCTATTACATAATCACAACACAGCCAGCAACTTTAGTAAATTTAATTGACACTAGAACATATTCTCTGATTACAAGAGAATTAAAGTAGAAATCAATAACAGAAAGATATAGGAAATTCCCCAAAGATATAGAAATTAAATAATTCACTTCTAAATAATCCACGGATCAAAGAGGAAGTCACAGAAGGAATTAGAAAATATTTCGAATTTAACAATGTTAAATAAGGAGATTTACTTGCTGTTAAGATTTTACCTACTGATCACTTTCCTCTGTACACCATTTATAATTCTCCATGTCTGTGACCATGTGATTTTACACTGCCACCCACTGGAGTGGGAGGAGGTTATTTTCCCTCCCTGCTGATATTGGGACATGTGAGGCTTTGGCCAAAACAAAGGTGGCAGGATGACGGAATACCAGTTCCTGACCACAGCCTTGTTTTCTACAATCTTGGGATTCCACCCTTCCTCTGGTTCCTGCTGCAGGGCCACTCTGGGTCCCAGAAGGAACACCAAGAGGGAGAACTCAGCTCATCCAACACAGGAACTAAAATCAACTGTGCACACAGAATGAATTAGAATGGCCCAGCCAAGCCCTACCAACCTGCAGACACATCAGAAAGAAATACTTACTGTTGTAAACCACAGAGATTTGTGCATTTGTTATGCAGCAATGACTGACCTATATAGTTGCTTATGAATACTTATAAAGCACTGTATGCTAGTGATTTCTTTAAGATTTTTATTTATATTAATTCATTTAATACCAACAATCCTTTTCCATAAATGAGGAAACTCAGCTTAAGTTACTTACCTAAGGTCACACAGCTAATGAGTTGATAAATTGGGTGACCATGAGATACACTGCCTCTAGACTTATTCTAGCTGAGACAACAATTTATGGTGGTAGTTGCTTATAATAAGTCATTTGATACCAACAATTCTTTTTCATGTAAGAAAACTCAGGTTAAGTTACTTGCCCAAAGCTAAAGGGTTAATAATCTAGTAAACTGTGTAACCATGGTACAAACTGCTAGGCAGACAATAATTGGTGGTGGTACTTGTTTAAACTAGTTTGAGTAGGGGTTTCAGTTGTTGTCAAATTCACCTGCACAGCCTTCTCCCTACTTCAAGCCTCCCCTCCTCATCTTCTCTAGCCCCAGGGAACCTGATTTGCTTTCCCCAAACATTAATTTGCACCTGTGCTCCTCAGAATGCCCCAAGGGTAGTAAGATTGGCAGCCATTATGAAGTCAAACAACAACAAGTGCTGGTGAGGATGTGGGGAAAAGGGTACACTTGTACATTGCTGGTGGGACTGCAAATTGGTGCAGCCAATTTGGAAAGCAGTATGGAGATTTCTTGGAAAGCTGGGAATGGAGCCACCATTTGACCCAGCTATTCCCCTTCTCAGTCTATTCCCTAAAGACCTAAAAAGAGCATGCTACAGGGACACTGCTACATCGATGTTCATAGCAGCACAATTCACAATAGCAAGACTGTGGAACCAACCTAGATGCCCTTCAATAGACGAATGGATAAAAAAAAATGTGGCATTTATACACAATGGAGTATTACTCTGCATTAAAAAATGACAAAATCATAGAATTTGCAGGGAAATGGATGGCATTAGAGCAGATTATGCTAAGCGAAGCTAGCCAATCCCTAAAAAACAAATGCCAAATGTCTTCTTTGATATAAGGAGAGTAACTAAGAACAGAGTAGGGTCGAAGAGCATGAGAAGAAGATTAACATTAAACAGGGATGAGAGGTGGGAGGGAAAAGGAGAGAGAAGGGAAATTGCATGGAAATGGAAGGAGACCCTCAGGGTTATACAAAATTACATACAAGAGGAAGTGAGGGGAAAGGGAAAAATAATACAAGAGGGACAAATGAATGACAGTAGAGGGGGCAGAGAGAGAAGAGGGGAGGGGAGGGGAGGGGAGGGGGGATAGTAGAGGATAGGAAAGGCAGCAGAACACAACAGACACTAGTATGGCAATATGTAAATCAATGGATGTGTAACTGATGTGATTCTGCAATCTGTATATGGGGTAAAAATGGGAGTTCATAACCCGCTTGAATCAAAGTGTGAAATATGATATATCAAGAACTATGTAATGTTTTGAACAACCAACAATAAAAAATTAAAAAAAAAAAGAATGCCCCAAGGGTTTAAAGTTTTAGAGCCCTAAAGTTAGTCCTGAGTCTGTTTTTCTATCTACAGAAAATGCAGGAAGGGAGGAAAATCACCAATATGATATATATATATATCACCAATATGATATATATATATACATATATATATATATGTATTTTAAAAAAAAAATATATATATATATATATATTTTTAAAGTCATGAGAACAAAATGGAATTTAACACTCAGTTAACTTCTTCCTAGAAAAGGTAAAGAAGCAGGTCCTTCATTCCAGCAGGTCCTTCATTCCAGCAGGTGAGCTACAAAAGCTCAGGCAGACCTTGGAGCTTAGGGGAGGAATACACTTACAAAGTGAGATGACTAGGTGCAGGATTCAGGCCCAAGAAAACAAAAAAGGCCAGGCTTTTTACAGCCAGCTCACACCCATCTCTGATGCAAATGACCTCAGAATTAAGAGATAAAACTATTTCTGTGGGATTAAAAAAGGGGGTTGGGGCTGGGTGGGAAATAAGAGCAGTCTGCTATTGCAGACAAGAGGAACCCCAGGGAAGGAAGCCAGGCTCCCTTTATGACCCAGGAGAGCAGCTGGAGCAAAGGGCCTCTCCAGAGATCAGGTGACCAGTTTTGCCTCCTCCCAGGGCTCAGAGACTAGTACTGGGGCTGGCCAAGGGCCTAGAAAAGATGCTGCAAGTCCTGCCATTGGGCTGCTTACCCTGGTCTTGGTCCCTCCCTTCTTTTGTCTCCCTCCCTCAACATCCCTGTTCCTTTAATACCTCATGAAGTAAATTCTCCAGATGGAACCATGATGAGGATCAATACCTACGTTGAAGAACTCATTAACAAATGAGATCACCCTATTCCCTTGAGATCAACAAAGGACAGGATAATGTACAAAAAAAAAAAAAAAATGCTATTAGGAAACAAACAAAAAAAAATGTTCAAGATGCTAATAATTTTTCACAAGGCAAATTATTGCTTATTTAAAAATTAGTAAAAAAACCCAAACTTTAAATAGCAATACCCAATTCTGGCAGTTTTGAAGTGAGATTCGTACCTTAATACTTCAATGGTGAAAGTAACAATGAGAAAGTAACAATGAAAATGATCACATCCTTTGATGTAGGAAATCCACTTCTGGAAATCTATCCAGAAGTAAAAAGAAAAATTCAATCCATGGTGTAAAATATGAAACACACAGACACAAAACAAACAAAAATCCCCCATGCGCAAGTGTATTCACTGCAATGTTATTTATAAGTGCATATATCTTAATAAGGAAAAATAAAAGAATAAGAAAATAGAGTCATTAAAAATGGTTATGAATACTATTTAGCAACTTGGAAAATGGTAATGCTATAACAATGATAAAACGCAGGACATGAAAACTTCATGTACCGTGATTACACTAGACTTAAAAATAAACTGAAACTTGGGCTGGAGTTTCGGCTCGGTGGTAGAGCGCTTGTCTAGCACATGTGAGGCACATTAAAAAAAAAGATTGGGGCTGGGATTGTGGCTCAGCGGTAGAGTGCTCACCTGGCATGCATGAAGCACTGGGTTCGATCCTCAGCACCACATCAATGTAAAATAGATATTGCGTCCACCTAAAAAACTTAAAAAATAAATATTAAAAAAAGATTAAATAAACAAAATAAAGGTATTGTGTCCATCTACAACTAAAAATATACAAAAAATAAGCTGAAACTAAAAATTAAATAGCAGAAAGGTCAGTAGGATAGAGGGAAGGGAACAAAGGGAGGGAGGAGGTAAAAGAAATACTAGGGACTGAATTAGAACAAATTATATTCCATGTTTTTATAATAATGTAAAAATGAATCTTAACGTTATATATAACTAAAAAAATCAATAATAAAAAATAAGCTGACAGCTCAGCGTATTGGCACATGTCTGTAAATCCTAGTGATCTGAGAGGCTGAGGCAGGAGGATTGCAAGTTGGAGGCCAGCCAGGGCAACTTTGTTGCAGCCTGCAACAAAATATCATGGACTGGATGACTTAGACAATAGATATTTATTGCTCAAAGTTCTTGAGGCTCAAAGTCCAAGATTAAGGCACCTGGTGAGGGTTCACTCTCTTGTTCAGACAGCCATGAATCTCCATGCAGAAAGGCAGATGACCCCTTTGGGCCTCTTTCATAAGAGCACTAATCCTACTCCCCAAGTGCTCTCTTCCCCAAAGCTCTACCTCTTAATATCATTGTTTTAGGGATTAAGTTTCAACATTTGATTTTTGCAGGGGACACAAATATTCAGAACTTGGTCCCAACTGGCCAGGAGGAATATGGACAGGGCAAGCGGTGGCTGAAGTTTTTAGTGTGGATGATGCATTGGTAGTGAGTGGTGCTAAAGGACATGGCTGGGGGAGGAGACTTGGTACCTCTCCACATAGCTGGGGATCAAACCCAAGAACCCAAAGCCTGGTGCATGCAAGTGCTTTACCCCCTGCTTTTAGACTAACAGCTTTATTGTGGTTTTAAGTGATACAGAAGCTCTAAGCTGTAGGAGGGTCTCCTGCAACCGACTTGGAGGTCACTACAGCTACAAATGGATAAATGTGAGGCTGTGACCACCACCTCCCTGGGCTTCAGAAGCCTCCCTCTTCTTTCCTTGCCTACCCCCACCAGCTACTCCTGGCAGCACAGGAACCTTTAGCACATAGCCCTATCCCTGCCCTAGCCCAGACACTGTGGGCAACACACAGCAAGTGCTAGAAGCTGGTCATATGACCTCTGCCTGTGGGACCACTAGGCCAGCTAGTGGATCCCACTCTGCAAAGGTCCATGATGACTGCACACAGGAGCTGATAGTAAGCAGTTACAGGATTTTTGCAAACTGCCGCAGTCTGGCTGGGCACAATTCAGGAGCCACTTGTCAAAAGAAACGAACTTTTAGAGCCACACACGCCAAACAAAACAGCTCCTCAGGAAAAACCCTCAGAGCCCAACTGCCACCACCAGCTTCCCACAAGCCTCTCCACCTCCCACAATCCTCCTGCTCTTGAGGCCCATTGGCTGGGTTGCATGGGCGGAGCCAAAAAAGTCCCCCAATGAGCAGCTCCATGGTCTGAAAGGGCAGGGAAACAGCCCAATGAGCATCAGGGCAGAGGAGCTAATCAGCTAGATGTTGCTGGGGCCGCTGTGAGCCAATCATCAGCTGGCAGTCTGAAAGGGTGGGGAAACAGCTCAATGAGCATCACCGCAGAGGAGCCAATCAGCTAGATGTTGCTGGGGCGCTGTGAGCCAATCATCAGCTGGCAGTCTGAAAGTTTGCTGAGGCCCCTTCGGCTGTGGCTCTCAACAACAAACCATTAGTAAAAGCTAAAATTATATACATTTACAATTGAATTAATCATATAAAAAATAAAGATGGAGCTGGGGAAGGTAGCTCAGTGGTAGAATATGTGTGTGTGTGTGTGTGTACCATGTGTGAGGCCCTGGATTTAATCAGGAAGAAAGAAAGAGAGAAAGGGGGGTGGGGTGGGGAAGAAGATGAAAAAGGAAAACAGGAAAAAAAAGATGATATTCAAAATTTACAACACAATAGTTACTTTACTACACATTACTATTATCTGTGTTCTCACGCCCATGTATTGTTTCTACCCATTGCTGTCTGTAGGATGGAAGTGCTACTATGCTTGTCCTACTCTGGTACAGTAATATCACATTGGTGGCTAGGAATCAGCCACAGTGAGAGTATTTATACCCTACAAATCAGAAAACGCTACACATCAGGACTTGATTTGTTGCTCCTCTCCCTCTCCCTTCCTCACCCTGTCAATGGTCAATACCCTCCACATGGGCTTTCCTGAAGCCATTCCATCGACATTAGTCATTTTTCATTACTATAAGGTATCTGAGGCTAGGGAGCTTTACAAAAAAGCAAAGAGGTTATTTAGCTTACAGTTCTGGAGGTTCAAGGGCATATCATATCACTAGCATCAGTTTAGCTCTGGTGAGCACTTGCATGTGTAAGAGCATTTGTGGGAAGAAGAAATCACATCTACAGATAGGAAGCTAGCTTTCCCATCCATACATATGAGAGATGGGTTCCACAGTGCCTTCCAAGGACACACCCTCCACTGGCCTAAGGACCTCCCACTAGGCTCTGCCTCTTAAAGGTTTCACATCACCTCCCACCAATGCACCTGGGTACAAAGTTTCCAATACATAAAACCCTGGGATATACTCAGACCATATTCAAGCTATAGCAGCATCTCTGATGGCACAGCCACAGGCCGCTTTCCAGCTTCTTACCTAAGCCACCATCAGTTTTATCCTCAGCTCATACAATCCAAACTTACAGACTTTGGTTACTTTTGTAGGGGTTCCTCAGACATAAGGGAACCTGTACAATGTTGTAAGGTTCTAAGCAGTAAGAGAGAAAGAAGGAGTTAGGTGCAGTGAGAAACACTTAATTTGTGATAAACAAAATACGCATGTCAAATTTGAAGAGTGAAAAAAACCAAGAGGTATCACTGAGGTCTCTCACTCCACTGAACCCCTGATGCACACAGTTTATTTCCTCTATCATTCATTCCACATGTGTGGAGCTGCACCCTGTGCTAGCACTGGAAGTAGATGTGAGTCAAGCACACGCAGGTTTCCCTCCCACCTCCCACTCCTCCTCCTTCAGGGTTTAGTCAGAGCAGGGAAGGCTGTAGCCTCTGCCACACTGCCCAGCTTTGAATTAAGAGTCCTCTATTTGTGATTTTCCCAACCTTGGTGAGCTTGTCACTATAAATCTAAAAGGTAGGTATTATCAACCCATTTTACAGATGAGGCAGCTGAAGTATAATATGCACAGTTAACCTGTTTTTAATAGATGATAGTGATGTTTCTTAGGGTCAAGTATGTACTAATGGACCAAGTCTGTAAGGTGAGTGTGTTCTAATGAAGTATTATGACCCTATGGCCATTCCCAGTATTGAGATACATTATTCTTTATCCCATTTTCCTGCAATTACATGCCTGAAGAATATCCTTAATCACAGTGTGCAATGCAACCTAGGGTTGTGGAGTTGACCTGGGAGCTTCTCCCTAGGGCTGGGGATGGCACAGGAGACAGTTCCAGGAGAGACTCCCAAGGCACAAGGCACTGTGGCTTTTAGATGATGCACACTTTACAGAAAAGTATGTTAACTATATTTAGAAAATTCAAAATTAAGGTTCCAGCTCTCAAATATCCTGCTTATAAACAGGACTCAACCTTCCTAGAAAGTCTGGGGAAATAGGGACATCATTAATTCTGGTCACACTCCTACCCCTACAAGGTACTGAGGGGCCCAGCTGACTATAAAAGTCCACTTTCAGGGGACAATCCAAACTCCTCAGGAATATACAACTCTAGATAGGGTTCCTCAGCTTTTTAAAACTCATGACCATTTTTGTGTCATGAAAAAAAAAAAAAAAACCCTTCTCCTTGTTTGAAATTTCAAAGTAAATTAGGACTGCAAATCTATCAAAACATCTTCCATAAGACTAGTTAAGCATTTATTATGGTGCTAGTCCAGGGGAAAGTCTGAAGAAGGTAGATCAAAATCAACAGCAGCCCCATATGCCTACATTAGGAAATGGCCCCACCCCAGTGCCCAAGCAGGGACTGGATTCAGGTAAGGAAATTAGGCTTCCTCCAGGACTCCTGCTGAGAAACAAGGTCAGGTCCACTCCTCACCTTCCCCAGTTAGTCTTGCCCCACAAAGGACACCTCAAGGACAAAAAGTTAAACCACAAGGGACATTCCACAGGGTGACTGATCTGGTTTCTGTGACAAATCAGTGACAGGGGGAATAATGAGGCAGGAAACTAACTGGTTATAACATGGATCATGCCTGGCTGCTGCTATAAACCAACCAACTGTGAAACAATCCAGATGGCCTGACTACAGGTTGACAATGAGACAATTCCAAAAATGTGTGTTTGGTTAGAAGAATGATAATAAGCATTGATTTAAGAAAATATCCATAGTTACATAATTCAAATATGATATATGCATGTATGGAAATGTTACAGCAAAATCCATTAATTTTTACAATTAATATGACTAAAGAAATATTTTAAAAGATAATAGAAATGAAAATTAAAAAAGACAATATCCATATTTGTTAAAAATATCTACTTAAATGAGTAGTGATAGAATGTATGATACTTGGGATTTACTTTAAAATATTTTTTCAGCATCAGGGGCTCTTGCTAAGTGTTGAATATGGGTAGTGGTGTTCTGCTGTGTCATTCTCTGACTTTGTGCATGACTAGAAATTTTCATAATTAAAAGATGTAAAACAAAGAGTCAATTAAAGCTGGGCGCTATGGCACATACCTATAATCCCAGTGACCGGGAAGGCTGAGGCAGGAGGACTGCGAGTTCAGTCAGCCTCAGTAATTCAGCAAGGCTCTAAGCAACTTAGCAAGACTATCTCAAAATAAAAAAATTTAAAAAGAGCTAGGGATGTGGCTCAATGATTAAGTGCCCCTGGGTTAAAAAAAAAAAAAAGTCAATTAAAGCAACCATGGCCTTCTTCAGCTCCATGAAATTATGGAGACAATCACCTGAGACACTCTCTGCAACAACAAGTCTTATCATTCACACACAACAGTTACAAGTTGGTTTCTATGTTTGGAAAAGGTGGTTTCCTCAATCTTACTTGTGGGGCTTACAATTCATTTTGTCAACAAAAAAATCTTTGAAAGGTAGAAAACTCCTGGAAGAGAGCAGGAGGAAGAAAAAAGACACGAGGAATGCTGCTAGGAGTTCCCATACAATTGAAATGGAGCCTAAGGGACTTCCTCAGGTACAGAACAACTGGCTGACCATCTTACCATGGGAGCTGAACATGCTTCTCTTGAACAAAGGGATTCAATCTGGCTGCAAATATAGCCCATGGAATAGAATCTAGTATCCACGGAGCCCTCACGCAAAATCTTAAAAATGCACTAGAGTTTTCTACAGAGTACTTGGCTTCCTCTAGATTTTTAAAGTAATTCATATTCCACAGAAGTTAAGAATCTGAGCTCTTTTTGAAAATTATTTTTTAGTGTAGATGGACACAATATCTTTATTTATTTTTATGTGGTGCTGAGGATCAAACCCAGTGCCTCACATTGGCAAGGCCAACACTCTACCACTGAGTTACAGCCCCAGTCCAAGAACCTCTGCTCTTAAAGAGGGTTAAAAAGCCACCTGCTGGACTGAAGCCCTTCCCATGGGTTGTTAATACAATTTTTATTTCAGAATATCTGATAGTTTTAGAAATGTTCTCACTGGGTCCCAAAACACCAGACTGACAGTCCATCTCCAAAATCCACAAACACACCAAGCAGCCTTGTCCTGCTGATGGGGCAGGTCATATCCATGGCAGGTTCTGCTTGTAAACACCTCCACCTCCACTTATATATTGCAAATGTCCTGGGCATGCCAGGGGAGGCAATCTAAATGGCAGCCTGCTCGACCACTCGGATCCCCTACTGACTTCTCAGACCACGGGGAGAAAGAGATCCCTCATTCCCAGGTCCATCTCTGCAAACAGATGCCAACAGGTACAATAGATAAGGCAACATGTAGACACAGACATTTAGTTTATTTTTCCTGGCAGTGACAAAAGTCAGCAAAAGACAAGAACTTCAATGCCCTAGAAGTCCTCCTGGATCTAATATCAGCACATCACTGGCTGGGAATAGGGTGGGATCCCCTTTTTATAATCATCCTATAATTTCTCATCCTAGGACACAGTGCTTTCTTGGGTTTCCTGTCCTCTCAATAAGGACACACAGATTCTCTCTCACTAAGAATATCAATCTAGAAGTTCTTTTATTCTCACAAGCTGTCAGGTGGAGGGAGGGACAGCAGCAGCATTCAGTTTTAGTGAATGGTGGAATCCAAGATGTCAGTTGAAGGTCGCTCCATGAAAGACTGGAGGGTGACTATGCTGAAGGGCTGCTCAGCACTCACTTCATTGCCTGCTGCTTGGTTCTCCCCAGTTGAGGTGTGGAGAACCATCCATCTAATGGCAGAGGAGATCTGAGCTCACTATGAAACCAATAACTGCCTGCAGGACTCTGTGAATACCTGTTCCCTGATAGCCCACACATTTCTCTGGGAAGAGCTGGTTCACATCAACGCCGGAGCCTCAGAAAGAACGCATGTTTACACTCTGTACTCTCCAACGGGTAATATTTATCATAAAAATCTAAAACATACTCTTCAGTCTTGAATCCAAACTTCTGGTAGAGCAGCATAGCGGGGTTGCTTGCTGAGACGTGAAGGGTTACATCCTTGCCCATGCAGGTCTGCCAAAAGAGTGGAAAAATACAAGATGAAAACAAAAAGGCCTGAGGGAAAATGAGTAGGTGAAGAAACTCTTTTAAGCGTAGGCAGTTAGTTATGGAAACTGGGGAAATAAGGGACTGAGGCCGAGGCACCACAGTACTTAGCAACGGCTAGAAACCGAAGGACATTTTGCTGCTGATCTAAACATTCCTAAGACTAAGGAGATAATGAAAATCTGGGCATTGTTTTTGTTTTCCTCTGAATCAAAGGGTCAAGGGAGATATTTTATTGTCAACTTATAATTGAATTACATTTAAATGTCAAACATATCAGCATCAACTCTATGACAACCTTCAAGAATTAGAGACTGAGATAGTTCTACTTTTATAAACTAAATGTCATCTCATACCCTGCCCCGCCAACATACAAATTCCTCCCTAGACGTGCTAGAAAAGGTGCTAAACTACACACATAGATACTAAATATTAAGAATTTTTTTTATTAGCTACACATGACAGTACAATGATCTTGACAATTCATACATTTGAATCAAATGGGGTATAATTTCTCATTTTTTTGATTGTACAGGTTGCAGAATCACATTGCTCAGTCACGTATATACATACAGCAATAATAATGTCTATTTTATTCTGCTGCCCTTCCTATCCCCCCCTTCCGCTCTCCTCCCCTCCCATCACTTCTCTCTATCCAATCTAATGTGACACACTGCATTTTTCTTTTTCTCCTCACAACATCATACATGACGATGAGGATCTCCTTCCATCTTCCGTGCAACTCCCCTTCTCCCTCCTTTTCCCTCCCATCTTTCTTCCCTATTTAGTGGTAATCTTCTTCTCATGCTCTTCCTCCCTATCCCATTTTGAGTCATCCCCCCGCCCCTTATATCAGAAAAGACATTTGGCATTTGTTTTTTAGGGATTGGCTAACTTCACTTAGCATAATCTGCTCTAATGCCATCCATTTCCCTGCAAATGCCATGATCTTGTTACTAAATATTAAGAATTTAATCATAAAACCTGAGGACCTTGTCCAGACCCTCTGAATCCCAAATCCACCTTCCATCCCTCCAAAACTGACAGTATTTGCTTCACAGAAATGATATTCCTGAATTTTGCATTGGCCTAATCTTTGAGGAAAAGGGTAATAATTGTTCTGTGAACACAAGACACTCTTAGGTTCTTTAACCAGCTACACAGAATAAGGTGTTCCAAAAGCCAGAGAAATTAGGAACTCGTTTTTTTCTTTTTTCTTTTTTTTTGTACCAGGGATTGAACCCAGGGGTGCTTCCCCAGTCCTTTTTATTTTGAGACAGGGCTTTGCCAAGTTGCTGAGGCTGGCCATAAACTTGTGATCTTCCTGCCTCAGCCTCCCAAGCTGCTGGGATTAAAGGCATGCACCATTACACCCAGCAAGAAGTTGTTTTTTAATGAGGAAGGCACGGGGACTGAAGTTGACCGAGTCCTGAGATTTCTAATCCATGATTCCCAAGGCCTCTCTGTAAGCACTCTGAAGGCCACCTGGCAGCTACCTTCTTTTCTCTGCTTAACCCACAATTTATACCCAAAGCCATTTTGGGGGACAAAAGAGCCCTGCCACTATAACCAGGACAAGGGCATATTGAGCTTATAAAGTAAATTTTGTGGGGTGATGTTAGTGTTTTCTAGATGACAAATACACATCACCCAACCTTGACAATCACCAAGTACTACCAATTGAGCCCCCTGAATTTAGGCCCTGGGATTGATGATCTGAATGGGGTGCAAGATACATACATACAAAGATGAACCACTCCTCCACCCATTTAGCAAAGATCACCTCCATGACAGGTCTTATAATCAGCACTGAGAACACACACTGAGATGTCATCCCTGCCCTCCCTACAGGCCCTTTCTGGTAACACAAAAGGCAGAGAACCCTATAGGCACCCTGCAGAGAAGATCCATTCTGTGGGTGGGATGTGGTAGAAATAACTGAATGGGTCTCAGTTGAAACATAAGGTAGCACAGGTTAATTGCTAGGAATGATTTCTTGAGAATAAAGCAATTTTAGCAAGATGGTTTTTAAGGATCCTACCAACATTTGGGAATTATTAATAAAGTTTCATTACAAATTGGAAAAGAAGTGCCATTAAAAATTGGAAAAACATTTTATCATCTCCAGCCTCTCTTTAGAAGGAATCTTGGTCACATCAAGTTTACACTCAGTACTCTATACAAAATACTTCCTAAACAATAGTTACCAGAAACATTACCAGGGAGAAAAATAATTCCTTGGAGAGGGGAAATTATTGCATTTTTATTTGACATTAGCATACAAATATGTGATATATTTTCTTCAAAGATAAAAGAGATATATCAAAGGAAGAATTGAATATTAGAATCAAGTTGTAGAAGGGTCACAACAGTTTATACAGTGATAGCCAAATTAAAATAAATAGACTATATGCTATTTATTGATACAGTTGTGCTAAAATATTACAACTACTTAAAACAAAACAAAAACTTCTCAGAATTTTGACAGTTTGAGTCCAAGAGCAGCAGCAGTTACCAGTATGGATAGCACACATACGTTATAGTCTTACATTTAGGTGTTTTGTTGTTTAATTTATGACATATATTCACAAAATGGTTTCTCTGAAACCAGGGTTTGAACAGTAATTTTATTTTAGGGGGGGCTCTTATAGCCCCGAGTGGTAATGACTGGCTTCCTTTCACTTGGGCTCTGAGGCCCCACCACTGGGCTGTGCTGGACAGGACCACCTCGGCTTCATGACTCCAGGTCATTTAGTGGAGCCCTGAAAGGTAAATCAGGAGCACAGACCACTTGCCTGAATCAGATGATAGATCATGAAAGTTGCAATCCCCGCTCTTCTCCATTCAGGATGGACAAACAGAAATGAAATATATGCTTCATTATATTTCACATCAGGAACCATGAAGCCAAAAGCAATAATGACTTTTTTATAAAGGACGACTACACTGAAGTCTGGATACTGCAGGCACTCAGACAGGTCAATGCCTAAAGAAAAGAAACAACCAGAGACTCAAACTGTGTGCCTTTTGGAATTAAGGAACACCAAGCTGTTCAATTTGTACTTATAGCTATACCTGCATGCTAAAAAAATCCCAAAATTGGAGGCAAAGATATTACCATAGATACCACACATTCAAATCACAAAAATGAATTTTAGAAAATATCAAAATTAACATAGTCTTTTCTAAATACATATGTTAAAAAGATGAGAGGCAGGACAGGTTGGATAGGAGAGAGCGCTCAGGTTCAGAACCGGACACACCTGGCTTTGACTCAGCCTCCTCTACCATGTGTGTGACTTGGCACATTTCAAAATGTCTCAGGGCCTCAGTTCCTGCAACATGTAAGCAAGGAGCATACCCAGACCTGACAGAGCTGGGTAAAGATCCCAGAGAGTGTCCATTTCATATTACCCCTTCCATATACAACTTATAAGTTTTTTATATAAATGCTACCTTTTATAATAAAGAAGTAAAATTTAAAAAATGATTCTGTGCATGATGTATGAAGGTACCTAGCATAATGGCAGAAGCAGCAGATGCTCCCAGAATGCTACTTTTGGCCCCAGTAATACTCCCAGAAGAATGAGCACAGCTCTGCCACCACATGCATTATTACATGATTATTAGGCAGTAAAGATGACATGGCTCTAAATCTTGGTGAAATCCTAACATCTGGAAGACATGGATTAAATAATCCTTTAAGTTTCAAAGCAGATCCAAAACAACATGTGTAATATTTAGCAATTAAAATGTGTTCCTCTAATTGATGGCTCTGGTCCTCAGAGACAATTTTGTTAAGGCTGATAAGATAACAAACCCTACTGGGTTTACTTTTATTCTCAAAGTCCATGACTGAGGTATTTGGACTTTTAAAAACACCTTTTGGCAGTACTAACACTCACTAAGGAACAGCCAAACCAACAAAGCATAAAGAACTATTAAGCCAAAAACAAAAGTGTCCAAACGCACCCAAGCTACCAGTCTGTGTATCTTTGATAGACATTACCTGGTATCTAAACATAGGTAGAAGCAAAACAGGATGAATCTTTTATTCTGGAAGCAGAGACAAACAGGGAAGAGAAACAAACAAAAACACTGTTTATTACTTTAATTGCTGGCTTCTTCTTGATCTTAGGAAAGTGAGAGGCATTTATAATTTAATATTTCTATGTTAGTAGAAACAAACTACATGAAATCATATGACTAAAGGTCTTAGGGTCATGTGGCATACACTAATTTAAAAAGGTGAACTATATAGAAAATTGATCTGCCTGGTTTGGAAGGGGGAACATACCAGGCCAGAAAAACTCCTGACACATAGAGTTGATCGTTGGGATGTGATTTGGTCGGACATAGCAGTAATCGAGAGGCGCGTCGGGTTCAGGTATCCAATGAGGGTCACTCTTGTGCAGGTGGGAACGAATCTGTGACAGAAGCTGTAGTTTGGGTGGCTTTGTCTCATAATCACGCCTCCAGCAACACAGAAAATAAACAAATTCAAGTCAAGAAAAATAGCTTATATTATTCCTAGCTAACTCACACATACTTTGATCTACTTTAAATTTTAAACTAATTTACACTGCTCTATATGATAGACTCATTATTCGAAATTATCCTAAGCCAGTCTGGATACTGGCTCAACTGAGACATCTCTGCATTTTTTCTCATTTCAGAGACTATTAAACTATAAGATTTAAAATTAAAATGATTAAGATAATCACAAAAAATCTACTAGTTGATTTATCTTTGTTTTATAAAAGGACCATCTTGTCTATAAAAGGACAGCTGAAACAAAGAAAGGATGGAAGAGCACCCAAAGCAGAAGTTTTTGGTCACAGAAAAATGGAGTGCAGAAAGCACAAACATTACTCCCTGTGACACACTCAACACCACATCTCTTCCCCATATACCTGATATAGGGTTTCAAAATTCGAGAAGTATAAGGGCTGACAATACTTTGGTCCACAGCCATATCTTCTGATCCCACCAAACGATACAAAAACTTGGTGGTCTGATGCCGAAATCCTTTCCTGGATGGCAAGGCAGTCTATGTGAAAGAAACGTGGTTATATAAACATAAAATTACTCAAAGGATTGGTTAATTTCCATATGTAATTAGTACTTATGGTATTTCTATGTGTCAGAAAGTAGGTCTTTCTGCATTACTTATTTGGAAAGCTCAAATTTCAGTTAAAACTTTGTAGACAACTTTTGCCAACTAGATAACAAAAAACTAACCCCAGTTATAATAAAGTCAAAATGATTTCTAAAAATTTAAAAATCTTAAGTCACTTGACTGAAATGCAGGACTAAACACTGGATTTACAGCTTCTTTTTGTCTATGTTATATTTTAGCCAGTCTCTAAATACTAACCAGCACTAGCATCTAGTAGGTAACATACACATGGGACATACTGTATAACTACACTATTATGCAATGTGCCACAGGGGCCAATTACTGCTGTCCTTGTGTATGGGTTTTCTGAAATATGTCAATTTTTCATGAGCCAAACTGACAAAAATGGGAGTGAAAACAAATCTCAATTAGCAGGGAGGCCCTCTCAGAGGGAGGGTATCCTAGCAGAACTGGGGAACTTCACACATTCCCTATGAAGCCCAAGAGCAGCACTGAAGGCATGCTCTTCTGCAATGACTGCTGCTCCAGAGTCCTCATTCGTGTAGTAACAGAACATGTGCAATTAGAGTTTTATAGCAAAGAGCTCAGAAGTAAGATTAAAAGGCACATTTATAAAGTGGATTGCCAAGGGTTGGATGAAGTTTAGAAACCTGAGTTGTTTTTGTAGAATCAGTTTTCTCTTAGCCTAGAAAATAACTTTGTTGAAAGAAGAGCAAGATTTCTTCCTTTGTAATTTGCTCTTACTTTCCCAACCTGGACACCAAAATTTTCAAAAGCCATCTTTGAAATTCTTCCAAGGCTTAAAGTAAGTTTCAAAGTAATCATCCCTGTAGGTATAAGTGGCTCCTCATATCCAAAGGTACAGTCAATTGCTCCTCCCTTTCAATCTGGGTGGGTCTTATGAATAGTTTCGACCAATCAGAAAATGAGAGAAGTAACATGAACTTTGGAATCTAGGTCTAAAGACACTAGCAGCTTCCCATATCTCCCTCTTTGAATTGGCATGCATGTGCTAAACCAGTGAATGACTAGCGGCCACATGGAGACAGACTCTGGAAGAAGAGAAGTATTCTGGGTATTACAGTCGCAACCCAGTTCCCTAGCAAGTACAGCCATATAAGTGACCCCAGTCTTCAGCACTCGAAGTTAACAACGCAGCTGAGCCCAGTAAATTCATAGAATCAGAGGAAATATTAAATAGTTATTATAATAGGCCACTAAATTGGAATGGTTTATAATGCAGCGACAGTAAACTAACACACTAGGCACTTAACAGGTAGCCCACAAAATACTCAAAATATCTGGTTAGTCTCAAGGTGGGTCCTGTGGCACCCCCTGGATATTATAATGCTTCCCAACTTTCTTCCATCTCCATTACTTTCAACCTATGCTGAACCAACTTACACTCTGCTTGGACCACCATCACTGTTTCCTGTTGGTCTCTTTGCTACTACTACATCGCCCCACATTATCTACTGAGAAGCCAGAATCTTCTGGGCATGGTGGCTATAATCCCAGCGATTCAGGAGGCTGCAGCAGGAGGATCACAATTCAAAGCCACCTTAGGCAACTTAGCAAGGCCCTAAGTGACTTAGTGAGACCTTATCTCTAAACACAAATTTTTTAAAAAAGGGGAGAGGGCCTAGAGATGTGGCTCAATGCCCCTTGGGTTCAATATCCAGTACCAAAAAACAAAATTTAAAAAAAAACATAAATTCACATCCTAAAAAAAAAAAAAAGAAAGAAAAATCCACATCCTTTGATCAAAATTCCCATGGTAGTTTCCCACTATATATTCATGATACAATTCAAACTCCTCAATTGTGACTTGCAGGATCATGTAGAATCTGGTTGCATTACTCCTAAAGCCTCCTCTTCCACCCATTAATTCCTCCGCCATCACCATGTTCCAGGCATACAAACCAGCCTTACTCCTGCCTTTGGACTTCCCTGACCTTCAACCCTGAGCTTTCTTTATTCTGGCTTCTCTTTGCCAATCAGGACTTAGTTCAAGTGTTACCTCTACTAAGAGGCTACCTTTAACCCCCCAGAACAAAGTGGTGCCACTGCCCTCTGCTCCTCTCCTCTACCACAGTACTTGCTTTGGATCAGGAGATCTCTGTGTTGATTAAACTAGTCACCATCATCTCTCTGCTTGAGGAGGTCAGCTCCATAAAGGCAATCTTAACTCTGCAGTATTCCCAGGTAGACTGGTGCCTGGCACATCTTAAGTACTCAAGTTACATCTGAATGATAAAGTGGGAAATGACAAAGGGGGAAAATACAACCCAAAGTCAAATAAGTATGAACAATATTATATTCTTCAAAATTCTAATTCTAAACACAATGGAGAGCTAGATTGGCTGCTGGATCCATTCCAAAACCCGACCTGGGAGAATACAGGGAAGATGGAACACAAGGCTGAGAAAAGACTTGGGGAGATCAATGGTGCTGGGACCTAGTGAGGCAGTGAAAGCAGAACACAGCTCTCCACCAAATGAGGCTGGGAGCTGCCTGGTTACACAACCTCTCTCCCAGTGCTGCTGTGAATACATTACTGAAAATCAACTTTGTCAGCCATATTTCTGATGGAGGATTATGTCAGAGCAGCACTGGAGTCTTCCTGAGGTAGAGGGGAGACTCCACTGTGGACAACCCTGAGCACTACATAATCCAGCAGTGACAACAAAGGGAGAAAAAGGCAGTCCCAGGGCTGGTGGTGCTGTGAGGACCCTTGAGAGGTGAGGCTGCCTGATTGGAAAAAGGTGAGGATGGAAAGTGGGTTAGCCCAGAGCACGCCATTTTACCAAACTTGCCAAGAGGGTCACAAGCTAGGAACATGCCTTTGCATTTCTGCCAGGTGTATGCTACCAACAAAGATAGCTGAAAAGACTGAGGAAATAAGAGTTCAAAGAGGAAATACCAAGACTCGTAAGTGAGTACAATAAAACTAAAGGAGTATAACAAACTATTGGAAAAACAATTTACCAAATAAGAATTTTTAAAAAGCACAATAATTGTCATTAGGAAAATACAAATCCAAACTACAGTGAGATACCACTTCATACCCACAGATGGCTACAAAAAAAAAGACATAATAACAACATGGTGAGGATATACAGAGAAATCAGAACATTTATACATGGTGAACAATGATGCCCCCACTCTGGAAGACAGTCTAGCAGTTCTTCAAAATGTTAAACATTCAGTAAATCATCTGACCCAGCAATTCCACTCCTAAATATACACCCAATCAAAACATATATCCACAAAAGCATGGACACAAATGTTCACAGCAGCATTATTCATGATAGCCAAAAGGCAGAAACAATCCCAATGTCTATCAACTGATGGAATATTAAGCCATAAAGAGAATAAACTATTAATACATGCTACAACATGCATGAAACTTGAAAACATTATATAAGTGAAGAAGGTGGTCACAAATCATATGTGACTCCATTTATATATATCCAAGATAGGGAAGCCTATGAGGTGAAGAGTAGATTAATGGGGATAGGAGTAGGGATTTGGGCAGTATAAACAAAAGGGCTCAGGGTGTCTTTTGGGGGTGATGAAATGTTCTAAAATTGATTATGCTTAGACTCTGTGAAGATATTAGAAACTTCTAAAATGTTCAGTTTAAATGGGTGAATTGTTTGGTACATGAATTGTATCTCAATGAAGCTGCTACAAAAGCAAAAGCATAATGAATAAGACTCCAAGGTAATGGAGGTGTCTGGAAATAGGAAGGATTAGTTATGAAGTGTTTCTTATTTAATAACTGATATTAAAAACACGGTTGCTGAAATAAAGCACTCAGTGAATGATGGTAGGGAAGGTCAAGGAATTATTTAAAAAGCCAAAGGAAGAGAAAAAAGATGTACTGGTGTTGCTGGGCACAGTGGTGCACACCTACAATCCCAGAAACTTGGGAGGCTGAAGCAGGAGGATGGTGAGTTTGAAGCCAGCCTCAGCAACTTAATGAGGCCCTTAGTAACCTAGTAAGACCCTGTCTCAAAGTGGGGGGCGGGAGGGGCAGAGGAGGAGGTTTTGCTGCAATGTGGCTCGGTGGTAAAGCATCCCTGGCTTCATGTCATCCTAACAAAAAACTGAACAAACTGAAAAGTCAACAGCTCTTCTTAGATCTGCACCGGAAGTGAGGTGACAAGGCACACTGCTGCCCCCCAAGTTAAAGAGAGAGACTGGAGCAGAAACAGGAATCAGTACTGGGGCAGGAAAACCTAAACTATAGTTGAATTTCTGGAATCTCAGTGTGGTCAAGGCAGAGACAATTCTAGAGGGCCCAGACTGAGGGGGAACCCCACACTGTTCTACGTTTTATCTCCAAGAGTTGGACCAGGTTCTCAAAGTGAAGATCAAAGAACCTCCTAAGCCCCACATCAGCAGGGGAGGGGGAAAAGGAACCACTTTGAAATAGGATAGAGAACTTTGTTCTTAACGATGCCTTCTCTCAGGAAAAATTATTTTACTAAAGCCTCACCCACAGGGGTTTCCTCAGTGGATAAATGGCCTTAGAGAAGAGACAATACCCAACTCTAGAACTCCAACACTGTCTAGTCATCCCATTGATTGAGAGTTTCCCACTGATTGGGGAGAAAAACTGAGAAGCACTAGAGAAGTTCATAGCCCAGAGGCACAGGCTCTCTAAAAGACTGAGACCTAAATCACAGGACTACAGAACAACTAACACTTCCTGGCACCACTAAGAACTTGTTACTATAGTTCATCTTATCCAAAACATCATGTTTGGCTTTCAACAAAAAAATACAAGGCATACTAAAGGCAAAAAACACAGTAGGAAGAGATAGAAAAAGCATTACAACCAGACTCAGATATAGTAGGGTTATGTGGGAGTTATTAGACCAGAAATTTTAAATGACTATGAT